CAACAGATATGGAAATCCAAGAAAAAAAAACCATTGATACTCTTACATCCAAAAGACTGAAAAAACAGGAAAGGAAATCATATTCTAAAGTTACAGGATGTATGGCTATGATTGGTTTTGATAGAAATGTTGCAACAAATACAATCACTGTATATGCATTTGAAGAAGCACATAACCATCCACTTACAAAATTTAGTGAAGAAAGCATCTGCTCTCCAAATCATCGTCTTAGTATTTTTGATCAGGAACTAATTGTTAAAGCTTCAACTATCAACATTGGTGCCACAAAAGCACACAAGATAAGAGCATCATTAAAGGGAGGATATGATCATTTGCCCGCAACAAAGAATGATTTCAAAATTTTTTGGAGAGATTATACCAATATTGTTGGACCAAATGATGCTCAATGTGTTGTAGACCAATTGATAATTTGCAGAGATAATTATCAAAATTTCCATTTTGAATATAAGTTGGATGATGATGAGCTAAATGCTATGTTTTGGGTTGATGAAACAGGAAAAGAAAATTACTCTAAGTTTTCTGATGTTATATCAATGGATGCAACATATAGAACAAACAGGTAAAATTTATAATTTATTACATTACATTATACAATAAGGGATACATTTTACAAATATTTTCAGGTACAATATGATATTTGTTCCTTTCACTGCTATAAACAACCATGAAAAGACAATCAATGTTGGAGCAGGACTAATATCAGATGAAACAATTGAATCATACTCTTGGTTATTAGAAGCTTTTTTGTCATCACATAAGAAGAAACCAACAATGATTCTGTCAGATATGGATGCAACATTATCTTCTTCCATAGCAAAGGTGTTTCAAGGATGTACTCACAGATTATGTATGTGACACATAATGTCAAAAATGCCATCAAAGGTAACAAATAGATTAATTTATTGAATTAAAAATAGCTTATGAAAATATATTAATAAAAACAAATTTTACATGACAGATTGAACCTGATGTAGTTTCAAATTCAGATTTCAAGAAACGCATAAATCAACTAGTTTGGAATATGAATATTGAACCATCAGAATTTGAGAACAAATGGGATTTGATGTTGAATGAATTTCATTTGAAGGATAATAAATGGTTAGCTGATATGTTCAACAAGAGAGACAAATGGATTCCTTCCTATTTCAGAGATATACCAATGTGTGGACTTATGAAGACTACATCTCGATCTGAAAGTTCTAATTCATTTTTCAATGTTTTCTCAAGTCCAACCAACTTACTTGTGAATTTTATGTTCAATTTTGACACTGCACTTTCAAAGCAACGTCATGAGCAAAAAAGATTAGATATTGCATCAAGAGATACTTCTCCACAACTGTTATTTCCACATGAAAATTTGAAAATTGAAAAGAATGCATCATTGGTATACACACGAGAGGCATTCCTTAAAGTGCAAAAACAAATAAAAAAGGCATGCTATCAGTGTTTTCAAAAAAAAAATTATGTTTTGATTGATGGCCATCAACAATGCACAATTGTCTACAAAGAAATCAAGTCAGGCAAACGACCAGAATTTAAGGTATGGAAATATGCTACTTAATGATTATTTTAATTTAACATTATTTTGACTTTATAATAATATTTGTGTAATTACGTATTATTATTATCTTTCAGGTTTCTTTTGATGCAAAAGATGAAACAATTGAATGTGAATGTTTGCATTTCACATTTTTTGGAATCCTTTGTAGTCATGCTTTTAGAGTTCTTATAGATTATGACATTGTCATGATACCTGAAAAATACATTCTGGATAGATGGAGAAAGAACATAGTGGATATTGGTTTTCAAAAGATAAACCGAAAATGGAGAGTGTGCAGTACAGAAATTTCAAATCTCTTGCAGGATGCTACTTCTTTTTATGAGAAATGCATCGAATCAGTTATTCATGACAAAGAAAAACTACAAGAATTGGTGAACTCTCTTCAACAATTAAGTGAAACTTGTGGAAAGGATGTTGCTTCTAGATCAAGTTCAAATCCAATAAAAGATGTTGTTGAAAATATCATTGGAGTTCCAATTTCAACTGATGTGAAAATCAAAGTACCAAGTGGGATAAAAACAAAAGGAAGTGGAAAGAGGAATCGAATCAAAAGTGTTGCAGAAAAAGCAATAGCAAAATCACTTAAACCAAAACGCACATGCAAAGGATGCAAGCAAGTAGTCAACCATGATCAAAGAAATTGCCCAATAAATCCTTCAAATGTGCTTAAGCCTTTCAAAAAACAACAGTAACTTAGATTTGAATTTTAGATTTGTATGTGCTTATGCTTCTCTATATTAAAACTCTTAGGATTAAAAGCTTGAAACGATTCTGAAGTTTATTTTAATATTAATTATGGATAATGTAATAGTTTACTGTTTCCCTTTCATATATAAAAACATATATGAATTTATGATAAGAAAAAGTAATACAGAGCACAAATAAAAAGTGCTTCAAACGTCATTACAATTTTAGATATAATCGAAACATTATTGCAAAACATTCAAATAAAAATTAACGCAAACTAAAATCAAAACTTATTGTAATAATAACAAAAACATTCTAATCTCATTTATCATAAGCACAATTCATTTTATCATGAAAACCAATCCTTTTGAAGTACTTACAAAATCTTTTTCCTTCAAAAACTTCTCTGCAACTCTTTTGTGCATGTCTTTTGACAAATGGACAATTTCTAGAATCATGTTGAACCAACCTATTGCAAAAATTACACAACCTCATTTGTTTGTTGTAAATCTTATTTTGATGAAAAATATACATTATGTTGAAATATATTATTAGTTATAACTTACACATATATATATGCCACAAATCTTCCGAAATATATGTTAAGACTATTTCAAATCATCAACTAAACATTCACAATCATTTTACTTAAAAAGATTAAATCTAATGCGATTGAAATAATGAAATATATATTTATTAGATTTAAAACTACAAACATTACGTTTTTCCTTAATATTGCATAATTACTTTTTGAAAAAAATTAAAATATTTTTAAAAAAAAATAGAATTCTTTAATATTCCATAATTCTTTAATATTACATAAATCTTTAATAATGAATAATTACTATTCCAATAAAATTATTATTTATGAAAAATGAAAAAATAAATTTTTTTACACATATATATGCCGCAAATCACCTAAGAAATATGTTAACATTAGCTCAATTAATCAACAATTCTTTCACAAATTAATCTACTTTCAATTAAATATATACATTTAAAAAATATAATATATGATACTTTATTACCTCATAAAATCTTTCATAGATTACTTAAATCTATTTAGAATTAATAATTAAAAAAAAATATAAACATTCATAATTACAGAAGTCAAATCGACTTAATTACAATAAATACAAACAATCATTTCACATAAAAACCTATTCAACTAATATTAAATATAAATTTTATATTTAAAAAAAAATGAAAAAACAAATAAAAAATTATAATTTACTCCAAATATTATGTAAAAACGGTAAATAATAACAAGACTATCATCTCATCATTACATACAAAAAAAAACTTGTTTTTTTTTTAAATCAACTTTAAAAAAAAAAGTAATATATACTGATTCGTTTTTTAAAAACCAAAAAAAAATAATTCAAATTAAAACAAGATAAACATTATCATCTTGCATGTATAGATACCATGATTACCTAAACCTACAACCGCCGAAATAGGCAACAATACTTCTTGAAGCAATTGATGATAGAAAATTAATTACCTCCTTTAATAACTACACTTGTTACCGCTATATATTCCTCCTCAACATCATAATAAACTTAAACAAAAATACAATTTCCAGTAATGGCTTCAGAAACATTGAATTGGGAAGTTCGCAACTCCTCAGCTTATCTTGATCTTTACGACATATATGGTATGTTCCTTATTGTTAAAATCTTATAATATTAAAACTTATATAATCTTATTTTCAATCTTCATTCAGGATGGGAAAACAAAAAGTACTTCTCAATCATGTTAAACCATGGAGGTAGTTTCTTGTACTACCCAAATCGACATTACTTTGGAGGCATCATTGACTATATAGACTTCATTGACGTTGAAACTTTCTCTGCCGAGGTATTTCATAACATCTTAAGCTCTTTTGGTTATGATGATGACAGAACATTTGCATACTCTTTAGTCTCCTTTGCTCCATTAGACGTTGGTCTAAACAAGCTTGAAAGTTGGAAGGATTTCTTGAACTTTGTCAAAAAAGTTAAAACAGATGGTTTTTTTGTGTTCAACAAATTTATCTGGAGCATAATCAAACCATTGTTACAACCTTCTTCCCAAAAACATTAAACTTTGCAACCAACAGTTATCTGTGCAAGATACTGTATTCAATGGTTGCATCAAATCCGAAAATTACTGTTTGGGAAGTTAGGATCATACTTTTTGACAAATTAAGCTTTTGGATAAATGTTGACAAACTCATTGAAGCTTTGGATTACACCAAGTTTCAAGTGAATCTTCTGGGAAAATAGATGAAGCTGTAAGGTGAAAAGGTGGGATTTTGGGTATTTGGGTTTTGGATTTCAGGAAGTGGTGTTATTATGAATATTTGAAAGTTTATTTTGTTTATGTGTGAATTTATATAATATGTTGATGTGCTCTAACTTTTGGGATGACTGTAATATATTTATAAATATTATCGATGATGGTTGTTAATATGTTAATATTATATATGATTGTGAATATGTTAATTTTAAATATGATTTTACATAAACAATCAAAATCAAAATCAAAAAAACGTTGCCATACTTTTCCTTGATTATTATAAACTTATGTTTGCAGAAGTACATTAAATTCAAACGTAAAAAAACAAACAAAAACCTAAATACATATAAAATACTTCAAAACAAATTGTTCTACTTACCCATTCATAACCATTACTATGAAGACTTCTACATAAAACTAACCACTTGCTGTTTACTTCAACAAACATATATCATGGACCAAATGCAGCTAACCGAGCTGTTATATTGATAATACCTTCATGATACATTACACGCCTATCATTTGCAGAAAGCTTTTGATAATCAACAAGAAGTTGCTCAACTTCATGTTTCATTAGATTCACTTGACTCAATAGAATTTTCATAGAATATCTTCTTCGAAGATTTCTAAGTTGCAAAATCTGCTCAGCACTTTCCATTTTAAACCCACATGTCCATTGAGCTAAAGGACATCCCTTATAAGTTTCCATATGACGCATCAAAAAAATCCCACAATCATTACTGTTACCTCTTGTTTTCCACGTCATATACTGATCCACAAATTCCATTTCATACATAACTGAAAAAGCCATAAAATGTTTTATCTCTTGAAGATATCTACCAAACATATATTTCTGCATTAAAAAATAAAAAAAAATTCAATATCCATTATAAAAAAAATATATAATTTATGAATATAAATAAACATTTAAAATAAAAACAAAAACAAACAAACTTACCAGATTTTGAGTTAGATGTGGGTATGGATTTTCAGAAGATCTATATAATATGTTGTCCAATATGACAGCTTTGCGGTTTTTAAAATCAAAAACAAACACAAAATAGTGACTGTTTGCACATGCAGGAAAGAACACCTAAATAAAAATAATCAAATATACAATTAGATATAAACAAAACAGGAATAAAATTTACAAAGTAAATCCAAACTTACCAAATCAATTCCTTTTAAATTTCTTCGGTCTTTAGACTCTCCCAAACAATGAAAAACATTTTCTTTAAAATTCTGGTAAACATCATCATATTTACATGCTTCACTATGCATGTATGCAGGATCCTAAATACAAAACAACAATTTAATTAACATCATAATAATATAAAAACAATAATTAACAATTACTATACGTACCAATACTGCTGTCTTGAAGAAGAAACATGAAGGAGTGTCCAAATTCCTTGCTCTCTCATCATAGTTCAACACTTCAACAAAACAATCAATAGTCCCAGAAAAAAGAAATTCTCCCGGATATAAGCTCTCAAACATGTATCTTTCCCCACGTTGACCATTTATGCTATGAAAAAGATCATCCCTATTAAAATAAAAATAAAATACATTTAATTTAATATTCCTTATATATATAAATATATATAGATATACACAAACACATTACGTGGGATTTCCACATAAGCTGAATAGCCAATTAGACTTGATATTCTCCTCCTTCGTCAAATTACTATCAATCTCAACAGCTCGTACAACAAATGGAGACCTAAGCACTGGAGGTAACGTTTGACTTCTCTTTGGTCTCGATGAAATCATATCATTCTCAAGTATTTTAATTTTTTCACTTTTATCATGAGACTTAATTACATTTCCTTTGACTGAAGCAGAACTTATTCCAGCAGAAACAAAATTATTACTAATATAACTATCAACACCTGCATTCACTTTTGGAGGAGTATAGATGTCATCCTCAATTCCTAAATTAAAAGAAGGAATATCCTCATCTACACACTTTTCCTTATGATCACCCTCAAAATCCACATGCAACTTAGTTTCAATACTTCCAGATTTGCCAAACTCATTAGTCACTCCAGATTTATTATATCCAACGTTGTTGTTAATAGACTGCCCAAAATCTCGAAATTCGGCAAACTTATCATCACACCTACTGCTTTTGTCAAATGACTCAAAAGTATATTCGCATTTAGAATTACTATGACGAAAAGCTTTATATGCAGAACATAACTCTTTCACCTTCAATCCATAGAACTCTATTATTTTCAGATTTCCATGCTTTTTAAAAAGCTTTATCCAGTTTCTTAGACATATCTACTAAACACCACTTCATTTCTGAATGAAACTCCTGATAACAACAAAAAATATAGCAATTTATAATTAATATCTAAATCTGAAAATTTAAACATAAATATAAATAATCAATAACAGACTCATTTCACAACAATATTTTTTAACAAAATCAAAATACAAAAAAAAATAAATCATGATCATCATCAAATATACACAATTAACATTACTTACTAAAATTGATCCTCTAGAAACTTCATCAACACTCTTCACTGTAGCAGATGGTCTTCCAAAACCTCCATTCGAAATTTCATTTATTTCTCTCACTTTCAACTGCTCTAAAGTCCAATTATTAATTACTGGATATCTTCTAACCATTAACATTTGCCTACATTGAATCCTATCAACATATAGCAACTACAAAAAAAACAAAAGTTAATAACAATATATAAATATTATTTATATTTTAAAAATATTTTATCAAAAAACATTAAATGACATACCGTTAAAAACACACTAGGACCATTGAAGAAAGTCTTAATATCACTTCTGCTCCAAATCAACTTTTCCTCTTTTTCACAATTTAATACATATGTACACCAATCAAACTTATCTAACTTATATGACTGAGACAAATACGGTAGAAGCTTCAAATTGCATGCACCTTGTTTGTTACATGATCCAAAACATGTACAAACAAGAATAATAAAATTAGCAACAAACACCATATCTGCTTCACAACGTTTTATTATCTTGTACACGATATCATTTGGAGTAATTAAAGGCAACGGCTTCTTGAATTGATCTTTCCATATCTCATACCATTCCTCATTACCTCTTACATCAACACTATTTAACTGATCAACCCCCATAGGCAAACCTAACACCCTATTAACATCTTCCCTTGTAACCAAAATATTAGAAACCTCAGTTTTAATAACCATCTCTAAAGGATCAAAAGAATCAACAACAAAATAACATAATTTTGCTGGAATACTTTGTGTCTTCATGTCTAGCAATAATCCAAACCCCAAACTCCTCACACATTCTTTTTTATTATGATTCATTGAATTCACAACGCCATATATAGAATGAAGAGAAACACGAGAATACAATGATTTTACTTTAGCACAATTCAACTCCATTTTTTTTTAACTTTCTTATCAGCTATCTTATCCACCCTCTTCACACTACTACTGGTACCATCCTCAAAATCAGAATCACTAGAAAAAGTCTACAACAAAATAATCAATATATAAAACTTTTAAAATAATATAAAAAAAATTAATAAAACAAAATCAATAAATAAGCATCATAATAAATAAATAACATTATAGTTAAGTTTACCATGTTCGTAGACAATTCTTTTACTAAATTTTTTATCACTTGTGTTAACCAACTTCCTGCTCCTTGTAATGCTCCGAACTTCAAAATCAGAATCACTTAAATAATCTAAAATATGTACAAAAAAAACTTAAAATCTAAATTAATAATTAAATTAAAGAATAACAAAATTAAGATAACTAACCTTCTGTATAAGATGATTTTGAGTTTAATCGACCAAACAAACCACGTTTTCTCTTTTTCATTGAACTATACACATACTGATAAACATTATTCCTTGGCTTTTTCTTCTTCCAAGAATTACTAGATGAAATGTCAATTGTCTTCTTCATAGAATTACTGGAATTAATCTCAATTGGACTCTCATTATCTAAACATACAGGCAGAACAAAATCAAACCGAATAAAATCCTAAATATGTCATTTTGTAAAACTTTAACAACAAAACAAAATAACTTACTCTCCTTCTTAACTTCACCAGATCGAATTTTTTTTTCTTCTGATACTTCATTATCATCTATTTCGATAGGATGATCACGAGAATTAACCATGAAATCAACTTTGTCCACATTCTCATTTAAATCATCCTTCTTCCTGGAAACCATTTTCTGTGATGCAATTGGAAATTTCTTCATGACTTTTGAATGCGAACTTACCCTATTCCTGTTAACTTTCGCATCTAACAAAGCTTTAAACGCAAACATTATGTTGAATAATGTTTGAATACATAATCTATTAGTAGAGAAAACTTAAAAGAAAAACTCAGAATAAATTTTGAAATAACAAAAACATAGATCTTCAATCAATTACGAATAAACGGTTACATCAATTTGAAAAACGACTACTCAACCTTCATCGCCGGTTAAATTCAAAAAAGATAACTACATGGATAAATTACATTTATAACCTTTTAAATAAAATAAATTATAAAAACCAAAAAATAACGTGTGAAAAAAAAACTACTCCTATACACATGCTTATTTCCTATTGGTTCTTTTCATTTTCACATCTTAATCTCATTTGTACACGAACCCACTTTTATATATATATATATATATATATATATATATATATATATATATATATATATATATATATATATATATATATATATATAAACAACTTCAACGATTATTATAGTAATAAACTTTTATTTATAAATTTGTCAAAAATATCATGTTTGTGTCGTCGAACTTTTTTTTTAAGTATTGTAACTTTTTTTTTCAAATTGTTTATCACTAATAAAGTTGGAATAAATATAAATTCAAAAAAACTAAAAAAAAAAATATATATGTTTTTTTAGGCTAGAAGATTTCTGAAGATGTTAGAAGACTCTAGTCCATATATGCGCCAAGAAGAGGGCGCGCAGACATTTTTAGGTCTGCAGTCTTCAAAAAAACAAACAGTCTGCGAAGGCTAATGTCTGCGCGTGGTCTGCGCCGTGCAGACAAAAGAGGACATGAAGATCTGTGGACAAAAAACAAACACCACCTAACTCTACCGGGGCTTATTATGGATTCGACTCTATTTAATGTCATGGGTTCGGACCTGTTCAATTATTTTTGTTAGGACCAGTCAAATTTCGAACTTTATTTGGACCGGATTGAACCAACTACCTGAATGTTATTTCTCGTTGTCTTTCTCTCTTTTTAATAAATATGAGTTTGTTATAACTTTGAAATGGTTCTTATTGTTACCTGTAATAACATACGCATAATGTCATTACAAATTTTTTTTTGACTTCGGGCATGACTTATTTAAGAACGAATCAAATGCCTTCCAAAAATAAATTAAATCAAGTACGTGGATGTATATTTAACAGAATTTAGATAAAAGAAATATAGAAATGTTTAAACTATAAATATGATTGGTTGGATCAATGTTGTTAAAATGTTTAACTATAAGAATTCATTTTAGTTAAATATAGTCTTATTAATCAATTTTAAAAAATGTTAAATTTAATTAATGAGTGCATTAAGTTTTGTAAAAGTGTTTCCCAACAATGTTTAATCCCTTTCATAATCTCGAAGGACTTAAACATGAAATGCAAATCTACAATGAAGATTAACTTTAAACAAGAGTAAATTAATTGTTTATTACAAAGTTTTAATTCCTAAAACAATTATAGATTCTAAAATTAAATAACTTTACAAGAAAATTGACTAATTTAAGTTGCTAACATAAATTAAGAAAGAACTCAATATTTTAATAGTCCAACGGTACCAGGTGATGTCCTCCCTCTTTGAGGTCGAGGGTTCAAGTCCCGTCGTGGACATAGTTGGTATTAGGTGTTAGATTAGGAGTAGATTTATATATTTGTATTGCGGTTCAAAAAAAAAATACGAACAAAACATGCACATTACTAAACCCAATATGTTTCCAACATAAATTCAATGTATTTACAACTAAGACGAATTAAACACATAAAAATAAAAAATTCTGGTGGAGATGCAAAGGACGAATACAATGGATTATGATGGAGAGGCAAACAGTGATACACATGAGGAGAAAGAAAAAAGTTAGAACTTAAGAACATGAAGTGATAAAAGCAGGTAACAGTTTGGTAGATAGCAGAAAAAACCTGATAAAACTAACGATTGGTGATTTGCGATTTTTACAAAAGGTGAATCGGAGGTAAACATCGTTGGTAAAATTCAACGATTTGCAGAGAACCCTGCATCTGCAATTTATTCTGCATCGTTTCTTTGATCCTCCGTTGCAGGTATTTTTGTAGTGGGTTTGTATTATTGGGCTGTTGGAATATGACAGTTAGGTATTTTTGTAGTGGGTTTGTATTATTGGGCTGTTGGAATATGACAATTAGGTATTTTTGTAGTGGGTTTGTATTATTGGGCTGTTGGGCTAATTCAATTGATTTTGTTAGTGGATTACCATTAATCTACTAGTTTTTGTTTTAGAAAACATTTGTTTGCCAATACTTGCTTAGTTTAACAAGTTATTTTATTTTATTTTTATTTATAGATTACTTGTTTTCTCATAACGACTTTGTCAAAGTTGGTTTATTATTAATATATATATATATATATATATATATATATATATATATATATATATATATATATATATATGGAAAAGTCCAATAGAGAACCATAATTATTGGTTTTTCAAGGAATCAAATCTTTTTTTCAATTTCTAGAGCTTATTCTTTATCGAAAAAAAATCTAAAAATATCTAAATTCATATATTAACATTGTGAATGTGAAAAATATTTTTCGGATTCACCGTGTGAATCCGGATTCACATTGTGAATTTTCAAAGATTCACATTGTGAATTTGACGTAAAAAAAATCGAATTTGATATCATTGGAAAAAGGATAAAAAGTTATAAATTTCTGCATTTTTAGATTTTTTTTTGATAAAAAATAAGTTCTAAAAGTTGAAAAAAATATTGGTTCCTTGGTTAATTATGGTTCTCTATTAAACCTCACCCTATATATATAAAAGCTTAAGGAATAGTAAAATTCCTTCTTTTTAGACATTTGCCACATAGGTTTTTCTGGTTTTACAGTTTTGATCCCTTATTACTTGGTTTTTCTGAATTTCATCATCTTTTGGTTTGTGACTTTTCCCAGTCAATTGTGGGGGCGTGTCGAAAACACGTGTTATTTTGTTGTCTTCTTCCAGTTTATGCCATGTTTCCTCAACCGACTCCATTACACCGATTCCATTATAAAATTTTGTTTGCCTTAAACTCTGTTTTCCCTCTTACTTCTCATCATCACTTCCATCGAAACAGCATCACCGACCTTGCCTCCCTCAACCCTCCTTCGATGTCGTTTCCATCTCCGGTCTCCCACACTGCCAACCTCGCACAGAACCGCCGCATCATAAGCTTCTATTTTCTTTTCACATATGCCTGCCACCCACCAGATGTATCTCCTTTGACCGCCTACGAATCACATCTACTCATCGTCTCTCTCTCTCTCTCTCTCTCTCTCTCTCGTTCCTTTTTTTTATGTCAAACACACACTCTCCTCCTTTTTTTCTTCGTTCTACCTTATTTGTCTGCTTTCTTCAACCATTACCAAAAAATTAAATGTTTGTGACTCACCGGTAGAGAAGAACCCAATGAGAGACCACGTTGGAGTCGATGAAGGACAGAGAGGTATATTATCGATGGCGGCGGTGATGAGGTGTTGCGGACATTCAAAATTCAAATTTTAGGTATAAAAATGAAATTGAAGTTAATTTGGTTATAATTTCTTAATTCATTCGAATCATTCTCCCACTATCTCAAGATATGCTCATGTCTTTCTTATTTTTTTTGGTTTATTTTGTTGACATAAGCATTGATCGAGTCCTATAATCCATGCTAAGTCCGATTTTTTGGTTTCTTCACCAAAGAGCTCTTAGACATCCCCATTCAAGTACGTTGTCCATAACTTGGTGATTCTAATTCATTTGATTGCATTTCTTTTTTTAAAAATTTTAAGATTCTAAATTCAATTAGGGTTCTCCTATTCACATATCGATTTTTAGTTACGCAGGTTCGTTTTAACGGACATCTAAATTCGATAAGTCTTTGGTTACTTATGCTTTTGAGTTTAATTAAACATTTGATGTTTGATTGTTATTAGTCATTTCTCATGTCATAGAACTCGACGATTGTTCAATTTTACATATTAAAAGCCCATTTTACAGCTAACATATGAGTACAGTAGTATGATTATGGAACCAGTTATATATGATTACTGAAATGGACTTCATCTATTAATAATATGTCATATGGATCAGTTATTTATCTTTATATTTCTTTATATCATACTGTAACACCTGATTCCTGGTATGTATTTTATTCAAGAATTGTATGTATTTTCTCTGGGACTCGACGAGTGGGTGGCGCAACTCGTTGAGTAGAGACGGGATCCGCTGGAAGTTTAAGTGACCTACTCGACGAGTCGGGATACTGACTCGACAAGTAGGTGATGTTTGAGTGAAACCCTAAATTTGAGGGTTTGCACCTTATTTAAACACCTTATCTCAGCCTCCATCGCCCCTTATCACTCCCAGAAAGCTGTGAAATGAAACCCTAGCCGTTTTTGTGTGTTCTAAGGCCATTTTGGTACATTTGGTGGGTGGTGTAGCTTGGAGAAGAAGAAAGAAGCTTGAGAGTTCGAGTTGGGGCTTAGAGATTCAGGGATCTAGTTCCATTTTCAGCTCAATCAAGGTAAAATGCCCCTGTCTTGGTCTTCTATGTGTTTATTCATCTTTGGACTTGGGTTTTGGGCACATTTAGGGCTTTCCAAGCCATATTCGGATTTATGAAGTGTTATATGAGCTCTTGACTTCAGATCTGAGTTATTAGAAGGGTCTCATGGCATAAAGGTGCCAGCTTTATGGCCATGAGAGCTCCATGCATCTTGTGGATCACTTTTAATGGCCTTTTGAGCCAAAGACCCCTTGCATGTGCACCAAGTTGGAAACTTTACGTGTAAAATGGACATTAGGGGACCAGATCTATGGTTTTGATGAGTTAAGACCCATCTAAATCGACTGTATAGTAATGGTCATGGATGGGCTCGACAAGTCGTTCTTGGGACTCGGCGAGTCGGTGTGTATTGACCACCAAATCCTTTATGTGGATGGACCAGTTGTTAGGGAAGGAAGACCCTTAGTTGTTTGGACGCAAAAAGGGGGCCTGGGAATCATGGGACTCGACGAGTGGATGAACAGACTCGGCGAG